CGACAGGTATGGGACCAAAGGTGTGTCAGATTACCAAAAGTGTCCGGATTACCGAAAATAATTACATATTTCGCATTGTTTTGCTAGCAGTAACTTACAATATTCTCTACTCCAACTGTTCGAACAGAACTGCTCACATAAAACACACAAAATGTGTGTCATCGAGTAAGAATTGGATGCGGAGATTCACATCATGACATGCTTCTGTGCAAGCAGACACGTAACGGGGACGGGTACCTTGACGGGAGGTGCGTCGGACTACTGAGCATGTCGGATTAAAAAACGTCAGACTATAGAGGGACAACTGTATAGTAAAAAGATTTATTTAATTAAATAATGTCTCACAAAGACATTATTTAATTAATTATTTATAAATTCTTTCTTCCAAAAAAGTAAATACTAAAGGCTTAAATTACAAAGGGGGGAGTTTCAAAGTTTGGATATATACTATCCAATTGGCATCAGCTTAAACGTTGATGTTGACCTCTCCCCCACAGCACTAAAAGTCTAAACTTGTCACCTGGAGACAAGAGTGGACCAATTAGAAAGTGATGAGGGATATTGTCAATCAATCAAAATACAGGATCAAGGAGAGAACCCTATTAAAACCTCATGTCCCAAGGACATAAAAATATCAAAATGAAAAATATCTAAATCAGAAAATAAAGATATTTTGTTTTACCTTTTCACTAAGATTTCCTCTCTTTGCTAATCAGAAACTACACCAGTATAATAAGTCCTATTTATAAACAAGGTCCAAAAAGAAAATATTTAAAAAAAGTAAAGACATTAATGACAGAGGTAAAAAGAATTAAAATTTAAGTTCCCTGTGTTGTGCTTCTTGAGAGGCTGACTGCACATGAACACATCATCTGATCCCACTTTCCTGCCTGATCCAAAACTTCCATGAACGAAGCAAGCCCTAGGGCCATTGACACAACAGCTGCCCATTGCTGAGAGACTTATAGCCAACACTGACAGCAACCTTTGGCTGCTGTCAATGTTGACTATAAGCCAGGTTAATAGAACAAAATCCTTCATAAAGTGACCAATATACAAATTTTATAAACATGTTTATTTTAATTAAATGAGTTCAATTGTAAATAGTAATCATGACTGAGTGTCTGTCATACCCACATATGACCTACTGGACCACTCATCTGTTCTGACCATTGCAGCCCATCAGCTATTCCATAAAATAAAATTGAATAACAGAATTTTATGTATACAATTTTATGAAGAAAATACTATTCTCATTACAAAGTTATGTCATTATAATTTTCCTTTATCATAAAACTAGCAGACCCCGCCACGTGTTGCTGTGGCTCAAAATGTATGTATTATAAATGTATAACACTTCCCCAGGGGGAATATTTTTCGAAAAATCCCTTCTTAGTGTACATTCTTTTGACGTACCCTATTAAAACGCAATCAAAAACGCAAAAAACCGCATCTAAAATAGTATAAATAGCAGCAGAGTTCTTTACGGTAATCCTTAATCCTGTCCATCTCCTCCCAGTGGGGGGAATTTCGACATGTATATTATATAAAAACACGTGCGTATTCGAATGCAGCGTTGTGTCAGAATTTCAAAGGAATTGGTAGGAACAAACGAGCATTACATTTTTATTTATAGATAGATAGAAGATGATATGCTTTAGTTCATTTTCACAGACAAGCAAACTTAGGGCATTGTACTCATAGCACCATCTGTTGGACATAAAAGCCTTAACCTATATCTTAATTATATCTTTTAATTTATATGAACGCTTAACGGAATAATATACAGCCTGTGTCCACCCAGAAGTTCCATTCTAAATATTGGTAAAGAATTTTTGAAATCGGATGAGTAGTTTCGGAGATTACTTGCTAAATACAAACTTACTTACAAACATTACCTCTTTATAATATTAGTATAGATATGGTTATTAAATTGCACAAATAACTGTTAATAAATAATTATTTTCTAATTTCTTAAATACCTATAAAAATTTTTTAGAAATAATTGAATAATTAAAAAATTGAATACGGGTAAATTAATTGAAATAAGTTTATGTTAAGTTATTGTATTACAATATATTTAAATCAACCAGAATATATTTACATGTAATACAATAATTGAATTAATATACAGTAAACTTCAATTATTGTAATCATGGATATTACAGTATTGTTAGATTGGAAATCAAATCTTACTTAAATTTTTATATTTTTACTTTCTGAATAAAAAAAAATTTATTTTTAAATGTAACAACACACAGTGCCATGTAGTATCTGCATATTTAATAATTATTTATTGATACTACATGGCACTGTGCATATAATAATTAAATAATTATTAAATATGCAAGATGTTAAATGAAATAGTAAAAAACACTAAAATTTTAACTAAGGTGTTAACTGGATGTAACAAATAATTAAAACAAATTTTAAAAAATTTGAACTCTTCATTGAATTAACAAATTCCTAAAAATAGTATTTTACATAAAGTACATTAAAGTATTTCTGCAAAAATTACAATGGACTAAAATTAATGAAGAAAAATAAATTAACTGATATAAAATTATTTTATATTATTATTTACCTTCTTGCATTACTTCAGCTACAAGACTGGATGAAATACCTTCTTTAATATTATCATTACCCTGTGACTGTTCATCTAAAGGTTTTTTTAAGGATGCAGCTCCTGAACTACCAGAACTTTCTCGATGATGTACATCAACTTCTAAATCTGCAAGATAAAGTTTATAAAATTTTTTAAAAAATAATAAAAAAGTAGTATATAACATCTTGAATATATCATATACACTATATACTTACTGCAAACATTATAAATTTATGTTTTAAATATTTACAGCTTGTAATAAAGGTTAAATAAACTCAATTCACTAGAAAAATACATTATCCACATATAAATATAAACACCTGATGCATTGCAATAACATACCAACAACTGCCATAAATCATTGGGATAGTTAAAGCCTGATGATTTATGGCAATTGTTGGTGTGTTATTCACATATAATCCATATACATACATACAAGACAGACTTCAACCGTACACAAGGTGTTTAGCCGACAGAAAAGAGGGTAAGGGAAAGGAGAGGGGAAGAAGGAGGGAGAGAAGACAGATAGTAGAGAAAGGTAGGATCCCTCTGAATGGCATACATATGGCTACAGTATCCTCTATGTTTGATGTTGGTGTGCAGTTTTTAGGCTACAAGGCCATAGTCCCCCGAAGGATCTAAAAGAAAACCCAAGTGTAGCAAACACCAATGATTCAGTGCTGCCACGAATAGCTGAGTGTAGGAGTTAGTGCCAAGTGGCTGTTAGTAGGAAGACTTATGACAACTTAATGCTAATGAAACTAAATGTGACTGCAAATCTTAATACTACTTAACAGCTAGACAGAGAGCGCAAAAAACAAACGAACACAATGACAAACTAGACAACACCAACGAATCGACAGACAAAAGACAAACATGCAAGACCCCAAAATTTTATTTTTACTTTATTTTATTTTTATTTTTTATTTCTATTATTTTTTTAAACATTAACTTACTCACTAACTAAACTAACATACCATAACCTAGGATAAACCTAACCTGAAATCAGCTAAGAGTCCCTAATCCAACTTACAACTAGGACTAACTTAAACTAACCGAATTTAGACCAAAAAGAAGATGGAAAATAAGAATTAAATACAAAGCTGAAAACAGCTATATACTGACAATTGAAACAAAGCAAGGGAATTTTGTGGCTCTTGGGAGCACTCTCTCTGAGGGCACGGATGGCAAAGCCATCCATGCCCTCAGAGAGAGTGCTCCCAAGAGCCCCACTAAGGTATATGAATGCGAGTAGATGATGGAACATTGTACTTTGGCTATATAATCCATATAGCCAAATTGTCAAAATATGAAAAATGTTAGGCTCAGATGGAACTGATAGTTGGTAGAATACTGGACTGTTTTTCAAACTAAATTAACAGTTTGAATCCATCACCCAGAAGCTTTCATTTATTATTTTTATTTACTTTGAATTTGCCTTTCCACTTTTGTACACAGTCGCATCCTTTTAATTACATTATCAAGGAAAATAAAAATTAATCAAATAGTCAAAAATTTAAATTATCCATTTTTGAAAATTAAACTAGTTTTCTGCAAGTCTCTAGTGTTTGTCAATACAGTATTCTCCGGCAATATCATATTTCCTCTTTATTTTCTTTTCCCCTCCATTAATAGTAATGTTTTAAGCTAAAGTTGTATATTTTTCATGCATAGATATTGTATAGGACATAAAAACTTTGCTATCAAAATTCAAATATTAATGAAACAACATGACAAATTTCCCATACCTCTAAGGAATTTATAAAAAACCTGCATTTTGGGAAATCTTCAAAACAGACACATTCTCAAATAATACAGCTGGATTTGGGTATATTGGCAATTCTCAAATATCAAGTTTGGCTTTATATATAATTACACACATTCTATTAATCAGTTGATTACATGCTATTTACTCTTTCAAGTTTCATTTTCAAAATATGAGCTATACTAGTTTCAAATTATCAATATTTATATTAAAAAATTTGAATTAATTATATATATATATTTTAAACACTAATTTATATACAAATTTCAAGGCAAGGAAATAACAGCAAGTTTAAATTACCCAACACTTCAAATTAATCAAATTTAACTAATTTCTGAAGTACAGAATAAAAATTTCTATGTATATATATACAAAAAAAATTAACATTTTCATTTGATATTTATATGATAAATCATATATGAATCCTAGATTACAAAGATCACTACATTTAGATCATTAGTACTACAAATGTTTGTTCATTGCAATGACTTCAACACTTTTACAAAGAATTAATTATAGCTTTATTTAATATAGTCATTCCAAAACTTAATTGAAAGCTCTTATTAAAATGGAGTGAAAAATTTTATGAAAATTTAGAATGCTTAAAGAAGGAAAGAATTAGATGATCATGCTTCAAATACAGAGTACAGAGATTCAACAACATAATTTGCTTTATATTCTAGAATATAAAATCAGAAACCAGCACTGTAAATTTAACTGAAGTCAGTAAAAATTGATCAACTCCAACTCCTAATAAATTTAAATTGTACTATAAATAATACATTTACTCTTAGATAATAATTTGATTAACCAAATTTTTCAGGTTATATTTTATATTCAAACAATACAATCTTAAAAAAAAAAATAGAACTAGTAGAGGAAGATGCTCCTGATTTTCTTTTTATAGTTCCTTTCTATTATATCCTATTACTTTATATTTTATACTGTTTTAATAAAAATATAACCTTGATTTTATTTTTAAGTTTTGTCTTAGTTCTTTAAGCTTTAAAGTTATTGAATGGTTGTAATATCTTTAACAAAATAAAGTAAAAAAGCCACAATAGTATAGCTTTAGCCTTAGACTCAAACTTACAGACTTTAGATAGATTATGGTTCTAAAAAGTATGACTCATGTTGATAGTGATAAAATGCCTTATATATTGTGAGCATTCAATCAATATAAAAAGTATATAATTAGTATATTTATTATCTATATTCTATATTGATATATAAATAAAAGAATTGGAGTCAAAAGCACAATAAATTGAGGAGTTGCAGTTAAAGTGTTTGTGTATCAATCCCACAGCCCTGTATAAAAAAAAATACCAATCAATCCACTTGGAAATCTGAAATTCAACCTATAAAAACAGAAATACATTCATCTTTATTATAAACATTTTTAAATATATATTTTTTCATCTTCAGATAACTTTTGCTTTTTTTATTTAAAATTTTTGAATAGCTGTTCATATATTGGCGATGTTTTTAATATCACTTTCATGTATGTCATATTGAGTGTTTATATTTTTTAATGGCAACTTATTCCATAGTCTGAAATTATCAATCTGATCATCTATATATTCATAAAGCTAGATAATTATCTAATGATTAAAATGGATATCTAAGCTTTTATATTTATCTTAATTAAAAATTCAGTTTCTATCACTGATAAAAATATTAAATAAATTGGATAAAATAGAACATAATGGATGATATCCTTGTGAAATATCTTGTGCATATGACTTGGTTAGCTAAGTCAATTAGAAGAAAAACAAACTATTTTCATGAAGATTACTGTGATTTAAGTTATAAATTGTTTTTAAATTCTGAACTTTATTTTTGTTCAAAAAAATATCTGGAAATAAAACCATAAGTTTATGAAGATCTACAAAGAGTAAATATAATTTATATTTCTTCTTAAGAAATTAAGTTTGAATAATCTGTTAATGTTACTGATCATTATTTTTACTTAAGCACCTGGTATCTGTTGATAAATGACAAAATTATTTAATTTGTTTTCTTTTGCAAAAATTATATCATGTTATTCATTATAATATACTTTTCATAAATTTTTAATTAAATCTGTTAGAAAGTTGTAATAATAAAATTTAATTGACAACAAATTATGAGAAAGATTGAGTCTAATGGAAATACAGTTATAAGAACTGTTTTGCATTAAAATTAAAAATAAATATCTAATATGAAAAAATAAATTATTCTTAACTTCTATAAAGTATTTTCAAATTTTTCTTCCAATTATAATTAATATTTAGCTCCATTTTAAAACAATTTTTTAAAGAATGAATAAAGATTTGCATCTATAATCATCTTGTAACTNACTTTTCGAAATGTTAACAAAAAGTAACCAACCTAATTAGATAATTCACATTCTTTTTACAATGCATCAGTTGTCCGTAAAAACTATGAAAAGTTTTATTTAATAACAAACACAGAGCCAATTACCGATGTGAAGAAAACAAAAAACTATCTCTGGACAAACATTTTCTAACTCTTCCTAATGCCTATTGTTGATGCCTGACAGGCTTGACTTGAAACAATGGTATAGTTGTTGATCAAATCTTTGTTATGTGCAGGACAATGCATGTGTGGCTTTAAATTTTTATACTTATAGTTCAAATAGTGGTCCGAATTTATGTTGCTTTTAAAAAAGCTTTTATGTTCCGAACAACATTCCATCGGGTAACTGTTGTAGCATGGAAAAACTTAGAAAGAGTTAGTAAATGTTTGTCCAGAGATAGTTTTTTGTTTTCTTCACATCGGTAATTGGTTCTGTGTTTGTTATAACATTTTTCCTGGTGTGGTGTGTTGTAATTTTAAAATTTTATTCTGTATTATTATTATTTATTGATTACTATATTATTATTCATGCTATAGTAAATAATAATAATTATTATTATTATTATTTACTATAGCATGAAATTATATGCAGCTTTTGCAAGTATTCAAGTAAAATATTTTAACAGTAAATTTTAATTGTAAAGACTTCTTTTAAACTCCTATTTTTTCTTGGTAAATAAAAGTGTGTATTTTAATTTAAATCTCTTTTATCCACAATATATAAAAAAAAAAAAAATTGAAGCTGATTGAAGAAGTGCCAAAGGTAGAGGATGGCTTAAATTAAATACTAAATACTTTTTATCTATATGTTTTATGCTGAAATGGGAGTGCATCTTATATGCTGTAAAATACAATAGTATTTATTATTATGACAAAAGCATTCACACTATAAAATAACAGAAGATGGACATTGCATGGAAATTTGAATTCAGACAAAATATAAAGTTTAAAAAATTGATTTTGTGAATAGTTTATGTAAAAATACATATAGAAATTAAGAACA